CTTGGGACGTGGAAGCGAAGCTCCAGCCCCATGATTAGCCTCAGTAAATCCTGCAGAGCCTCCTCTGGAATGGCCTTGAAGATCCATGGTGTAAGAACTACGGGGCCTGTCTTGGCCGGCGCTGTGCGTGGGCTTAAGTAAAGCAAAGTGTGATCCGACAGAGGGGGTCGCTAATTGTTCCGCCTCGTACATGTCGACCTGCGTGGCAGGTGTGACCACTGAGTCGATGCGTATCTCACCCTCTCTACTGATTCTGGTAGGACCTTCAATTCGAATGGACATCTGTCGTCTGCTTGCCAGCATTTCGACCAAGGTGACTACGTCCTCCTTCTCCTCGCAAGGTCGCGGAGAATCCACTTGCACGTTGATGTCGCCAGCCCAATAGGTGGGAACCGAATCAGCAGGAGGAGGGATTAGGTCTTGTATCTCAAGCACAGTCTCACGCCCCGTGTCCGGCAGCAAGTACGTGGTGATGAAACACATGGGGTTCACCTCCAACGAGGCGTCCACCTGTGGGACACATTCCTCCACCATTATGGTGGCGCGAGCGTCCCTGCAGTCGTTGGAGAGCACCACGGCCACGCCTCTTGAGATTCCCCCATTTGGCCCCTGCACCCCAGGCGTCGCGAAAGCTTGTCGCCCCTGCATCAGGGAGGCCCAAACCCTTTCCGTCGCTTTCCGCCCAATGTGTCTATTGAAGAAGAGCTGCCCTTTGGCTGACAGTTGTAGATGATATTCCGTTTTTCATGGTTCGGTGATAGTTTTGATCTTCTTGAGGTATCCTAAATTTCGGCAAAACATTAGCGGGCGTGGGTGTCGCAGTCCTCAGAGAGTTAATGAGGTCATCAAGCGCGCGTTCGCCGCAAAGCGTTGCCCAGGTAGCAGAGGAAGAAAAACTGGAGGAGTGATGGAGGCGCCACACAGCAGCGAGAGAATGAATACTGGGAAGTCCCGCACTGCGAAGAAGAAAACTGAGCGGCCCGCAGGCGGCAGTCCACTCGGGACCGCGCCGAGTCGGGACAATATCACCACACGTGTGGGAGGAGCCCAACGCTTCCCAAAGGCGCTGGGTCGCCACCAGGGTGTCTACGGGTATGAAGACTGCACCCGTTGCAACGACCTGCGTTCGCTGTTTAGGCTAGCTGTCATGTCCGCGTTTTCGACCCGAACGTGCGGGTGAAATCCAGGGCCCAACCACCTTTGGTGGAGGTCCTGGGGAATGGGAGTCTCAACCCTCGGAGCTCCTAGCAGATTATCAACGCCGTCCACACTGTGAAACACTTGGTACATCTGTATCGCATTGGGCAGTGGTGCCATCGTGTGCCACTCGCCCTCCAGAGTGGACTCCCACGTTCGTGGAAAAGCGCGGGCACGCACCATGAGGGCATCCGGGTCAAAACAGAATCCAATACTGTCATACAGGCCACGTTTCTGTAGTCCCAAGGCCCGTGCATAAACTCCGATATCAATGGCAGCAGCCCGTTCCATGGCGTTGGGTGTACGGATTTCGTGCGCCATGCCGTGCTCGTGGAGCCCAGTCGACGAATTGGTCGCAGTCGGGCTCGTTGTCGAGGCGTCGGTGTGTGCATGCGCAGATATGCTTAACTCCCGCCCTGGCGTTGGGGTGCTGCTGGCTGTTGTAACTGGTGGAGAGGAGCTCCCGAAGTTTCTTCATGACTTGACCCAGGGTCATAATGACTTGACTTAAGTGGAGAGGGCTCCGAGTTTTACAGTAGGAATTCCGGGTGAGCCTGGACGTTAGTGACCCGAATAGCCTCCTCCCCATTACCAAGCCTTCTAGCCTTGGACCTTACGAATGGGGCGATTTTGCCGTCCATGTGCAGAACCCATGGCGGGTCCCCTGGTGACCGTCTGCGCCGTAATACAGGAAGATCTCTACGACCTTGCGTTGGGAAAGTGGCGAACCATAATCGCGCACGTTTCACACTGCACTAGGCTTTGGAGTCCATGGTCTGCATATAGGTATCGGGCATGCCTTCGAAGCACTTCCTGATCATGTCGCGGTACTCTCCGACCACATAGAGTCGACATTCTCAGTTGTCATGTGGACACAAAGCACACACATACATCGGCGCTCCGAAAGTTTATTCCGATCTGAGAGGCACGGCGCCGCGCGAATGCAGCGCAAACGCAATGCTGGAAGGGCGCGAGAATGCATGGCCCCTGGACACGCGAGAGCAGCCGTGTCCCCGCGCGAACCCCGATCCCGCGCGGGGCGCGCTCCCGTTGACAATGGCTCACCCGAGACACAATTTCTTGCGCAGGAAGTCCTGAGCGGTCTGCCCATCGGCGGCTCCTTAGGACGAGGCCCGGAACCACCGAGAGACCGTTTTTGATAGGAAGTTCTAAGCGGTTTGCCCATGCTCGGTTTCTTTGGAACGGGCCCGAAGACCTCGAGAACGATGTTTTTTTTGCGAGGAGTCCTAGGCGGTTTGCGCATTTTCGGGTCGTTCGAACCGGACCCGATTTGTTTGGCACAAGTCCTATGAAACTTGGCCATTTTCAGGTCGGCCGATAAACTTTTCGGGTCGGCGCATGACCGAACCCGAAAGCTTCTTTCGAGGAAGTCCGCTGCCGTTTGTTCATTTTCGGGTCAGCACACCGTTTGGGATTTGAAATTTTAAATTGGGAAGGGGAACCCGATCCCGCGACCCCGGGCGGGGGTTAGGCTCTGCCCTTGCATTGCACTGGGCCCCTCCGGCCAAACGGGGCGCTGGGCTGCCCATCGGCGCGCCGATGCTGCCCTCGCGACATCGCCACCATCCGCCTTCGGGCCCCGCGGGTCTTGTCCCGCGCGCGCCACCCCATATGGCCGCGGCCGGCACGGTGGCGAAATTGGGGAAACTTTCGGATCGGCGCAGTAATAAAAAAAGATCAGCCGCCCCTGTCCCCTGTCGTCCCCGCCCCCGGTGCTCGCCCTCCGCTCCGCCGCTTGCCCACGCTGTCCCCGAGTGCCCCTGGCCCTGGAGCGTGGCCCGTCTCGTCAATCCCGCCACGCGTCGTCATCATCATTTTCGCTTCGGTGGGAGCCACCCCTGTCCGCCAGCCCCACAGCAGTCGTACTGGCGCAGGTTGGGGCCCAATTGCTGCCGTGCTGTCTTCAGACATGACGAGAGCACACCACTGGTTACCAGCGACGTGCCTGGCTCCTCTATGTGGGAAGCATGAACAGATGGAATCGCCTGGCTGGTGCGATACACAATGTTGTCGCCCAGGCCGTTCCACATTGTCGTTGCGGGCTTGAAACACCTCTGGGGCAGCCTTGCAGGGGGTGGAAAGAAGCACCTTGCTTTCGGAGTCCCAGAGGTTGGCACCGACACAAATATCGGCGGTTGCCTCCACCGAGGGAAGATGATCCCGATCTCGATGACGGTGGTAACGGTCGAGCTGGGTAGGCGACCGAAAGATTACGACCAGCACCAAAATCCAGGATAATCTCCCCTTGGTGGAGGCAAACCTCTGGTGTTGGTATTGGTGCTCATTTCCAGGCCCACGAGAGCTGCCTCATACGCCGGTACTGAAACGCAAGACTCACCATGTTTAAAGCGTCTGGGTTAACACATTGCGTGTTAGCTCAGCACTTGTTGGTTCACATGTTGATCAACGTATCGCACCAGACACACGTCTTCAATATACGTGTTGAGCTTCGTGTCAACACGATCAGAGTTGCGTCTTACATAGCAGGGCAGATAAGATCGTCATCAACAACATCATCATTGTTGCCCTTTCTTCCCATCGTCTGGGATCCGCGCACCAGTCTCGTTGGAAGGTAGGCTCTCAAACGGAGTTTCGGATGCACAGCACTGCACCACATCCGTGCACGGCCGCCAATGCGCACCGAGTTGGCTCTGGCGCTGTCGCCATCATATCATCAGTAATCGAATCGAGGATCAGTCTGGCCTGCTCCGCTCTGCGCAGGGCTCTCCCCGAGCACATTTGGAGGAACCAAAAACTGGCGCAAACATGAAGTTAGTGTCGGAGGTCCGCGCAGATTTCTTGGATCGACGCTGGACCCCCTTCCCCTGGCGCGTGGAGCGCGCAAAAGAGAGCGCCGGAGGCGCCGCCAAGGGGGCCCGGCGCCGATCCAAGACATCCACGCGGACATCCAAACACGAATGACGCTCGCGGATCTACGAACGTTCTGCGTCTTGCCTCGTAGATTCGACGACCGTTCCAGATTTCTGCTTGTGCCGTTGTTCGTGCTTCGAGCCTCGCGCCTGCGCCGGGCGCGCGGGGCCCCCCGCACGCCGGGCACCATGGGACCCCCGCAGCTGGAGCTGCAGACCGAGCCGCTGGGCCTGCCTCTGGCGGCGGAGGCGCCGCCGCACGGGGCGCCGCCGCACCCGCCCGCGCCTCCCACGGCACACCGCCTGCGGGGGTGCGCGCGCGGCGTCTGCTGCCGGCCGCACGTCGAGGAGGAGGAGCGGCGGCGCACGTGACGTGCGGCAGTGCTGAGTCGGCGGCGCGCAGACCCAGAACCCCATCGAGTCACGAGAAAGGCACGGCGGAAAGCGTTTGGTTCGCAATTTCTGGCCCCTGGGGGCCCTCACCTGGCCTCGGGACCGTCAAAAAAATTGATTTAGGACGAAAAATCCAGTCCCGGGGAATGGGTCTGGACCTTTGGGGGTCGCGTCATAAAAAAAATCATGACGGTGGCGGTCTGGGGAGGGGGGCAGGGGGAGGGGGGGAAGGCTTCTTAGAAGCAGTCCTGCTTCTCAGAAGTCGCGGGCCGTGTCTGTAGATGCAAGGCTGGCGCCTTCTAAGAAGCGGCCTCCTTCTGAGAAGCCTTCCCCCCTCCCCCTACCCCTCCGTGCGCTCCGCCATGATCAGCCGATCCTTTCCGATCCCCCCTGGCTGTCTTGGGTCCTGAGAGGCACGCGGAGCCGTCCCCGCCACCCGTCCGTTCTCTGACCAGGATTCGGGAGCTCCTTTGCGGCCGGCCGGGCTTCGCGACAGGACCCGGGGCAGTGCGTCCCCGAAGGAGGTGCCGCCCTACTCCCTGGCCTACGAGCTGCACTTCTTCTTCGCGAAGGTCGGGACGCCAACTCCTGGGACCCGTGGTCGCAAGCGGGCCTGATCTGGCAGAATCCCAGCTCATCTGGCTTGATCCCGCCTGGTCCGGCTTAATCCCAGCCTCGGTCCGGCCTAATCTGGCTCCATGGCCGCCCTATCGGGCCCACTGGCCCTCAGTCGCTCTCGCGAAGAAGTCCCAGAAGTTGCCTACTGACGGAGGGCCTTCCGCTCGGCCTGGCGGCGGTGCTGAGCTGGGGGGTGCCGCCCCTCCTCGCCATGCTCTTCGCGGGGCACACGCGGAGCAGCGCGCACCTGCAGGCCGCGCTGGGCTACGGCCGGGTCTGGTTCAACTGCACGATGCTCATGCCCACCTTCGGCCTGGGACTGGGGCCACAGAAGGGCGAGCACCCTCACACCCCATACACGCCTATGTTCCACATCCGCTCCCCCCTCCCCTCGGTGATCCTCAGGACATGTCATGGCGCCAACATCGCAGAGCGGACTTCGTTTGGAAAACGAAAGGGTGGGCCCAGAGTATCCTGGAGAATTTCGTTCCGGATTTCGAGGTGAATTCCGCGCGGATTCTTTTTTTTGCCAGGAATGAAGACCGAACAAAATCCACGCGAAATTCACTCCGTTTTTCGTTCGCCGCTTCGGGAAACAATCCACGCAAAAATCCGCTGCAGCACGTTTAGAAGACCGGTGCAATGAGACATGCGTTGGCCCAGTGCGTGGTCATCCCGTTGAGCTCCGCCGGCAGGTAGCGCGGGCTGTGTCGGCCGTCATTACACCGCACGCGTCGTGTGCAAGGGCTTCGGCGGACAAGCACACGCTGGCGCGAACACGCGTTCTGAGGATCATCGGTCATCCCACTCGTCTCCCCCTCGCCTTTCCAAAGTGGGGGGGCGACAGGGGGAAGGGGTACTTGTAGATCTGGGTCTCTGCACCAGGAGCGTACTTCAACAGCGTCGTGCCCGGTTGCATCGGAGCTGGGCGCGAGGAGCGCATCCCGTGGTATCTGCGGCGCTCCATGCTGCTGACGACCATATGCATGCTTCCCATCTACGCACTGCAATTTTCAGCTGGGCAGGTGATGTATGCCCTCGGTGTCCCTGGCGACTACATTCCTGACATCAGCGTGTTTTGCCAAATTATGGTCGTAAATGGAGTCCTCATCTCGTTCTCCTCTCACCTAGACTGCGTGTGCGTCAATTCGGGCTATGCGAAGTGCTCCACACTGAACTCGCTGATAACGGGCTTGGGCGTAGATGTGTTCTGCAACTACACGTTTGTCTTTCACCTAGGCTGGGGTGTCACCGGCGCTGCACTGGCACAGATCGTGGTTCAGGCAAGCCGCATAGCAGTTTGGCTGGCGTGCATGGGGCACTTCAAGATTATCCGGAAGACGTTTTCAGCTCCACGAGGAAGCGAGAGACTCTTCAGCAAGAAAGAGTTACGTGAGTTCTTCCGATTGGGGTTGCCGATGATTTTGGTGTTCTTCTCAGGGTGGTTTATATTCGAATTTCAGATCATGGCGATCACTGACATTCAAGGTATAAGTAAGGATGCACTCGCCGCTGGCGCAGTATGGGTTCAGGCTGAGCGGGCCCCCTGATTTTTTTTTGCGTTTTCGAGCCAGCGGAAGTTACATGTTTTGCGGGGGCGTTGGGTGGAAATTGTGTTCTCGTTCCACCGATCGCTGTTCAGAGAGCGCAGCGAAGTGCCCGCGTTTCGGATGGAAACGATGTTCTCGTTCCATCGGCTGCTGTTCTCAGAAAGCGACGCAAAGTGATCTCGTCTAGCATTACTGTAAGTGGGGCTTGTCCCTGTACAGGGGGAATATTCAAAAATAGTCAAAAAAATAATATGTGGACGATTTCTTTGTATTTTTGAGCATCATTGAGAATTGTTTGATAATTTTTAATTTGTCCTACAAAATCCGCCTATAGGGGGAGAAGCCCGACCTAAGTCTTAGCGTTCTCCCAGATATCCCCGAACGGATTCGAACTCGGGCCCCCCCAAAAAAATCCAGCCTTGTGACACGGAGCGGCCAGATCCACGGACCCGTTCCGCAGATGCCAGCTCGCATCGTGCCACAAGCGGTGCAGCGTCGACACCGCCCGCTCGCCCGTCGTCACTCCGCTGACATGTCCGGTCCGAGTGCATCGGAGGTCGGGGGGGTGAGATCGAAGTGGAGCGGAGAGCCCCCCACCAGGAAATCGGTTTCGGTTTCGTGTTCGTGCGTGCCGTGCGTGCGGGCGAGGCGAAGCTGCGTGGGCGGGCAAGAGGAAATCCTCCTGTGGCTGAGGCGCGGCCAGACCAAATGATTCTCCCTCCAGCGGCCAGTGGCCCGCTGGTGTCCCGCCGGTGTCCCGCTGGTGTCCCGAAATCCTCCTGTGGCTGGGCCGTGGCCGGACCACATGATTCGCCCTCCGGCGGCCGGTGGCCCGCGGTGTCCCGCCGGAGTCCCGTTGGTGTCCCGAAATCCTCCTGTGGCTGCGCCGCGGCCGGACCAAATGATTCTCCTCCGGCGGCCGGTGGCGCGCGGTGTCCCGCCGGTGTCCCGCTGGTGTCCCGAAATCCTCCTGTGGTTGGGCCGCGGCCGGACCAAATGATGCTCCTCCCGTCAAACGGTGGCCCGCGGTGTCCCGCTGGTGTCCCGCCGTGGGTTGCGCATTTCAAAGCATCGCCGCTTGCGGCGAGCTATCCAATGCAAGTCTGCATGCAAACCGACATGCAGACCGAAAAACACATCGAAATGCAAATCGATTTACACATCCAAATGCAAATCGTAAGGCGCCGTGGGCGCCGCGGCGCGCTTTCCAGTGCACGTCGACATGCAAATCGAAAAGCAAATCGACAGAGCAACAGGCATCGTCAGAACAACAATCACAACTTTTGCCCATTGCTGCCCCCCCCCCGACCTCCTTATCACCCGCAGGGTGGTCGTATAGGTATTATTTTCGAGGGCCCCCAAACGGGGTGGTGACCACACCGTGCGGTGAGTCGGTGTGGATTCGGGGTCACCGCACGGTTTTGGGACTCGGGTCGTTCTCCGAGGATGTCTCAGGCGACAGGGGCCTCTGGGGTCCCAAGACCGTGCGGTGACGGACCGTGCGGTGAGGTCTTGGGGGATTTCGAGGTCACCGCACGGTCTGTCACCGTACTGTTTCAGGACTCCAAACTGTTTGTCGTCCTTATGTTTTCTTTCTCTGTTTGGGGCCCCTTGGGACGAAGAAAGTGGATGGGGGGAGCTGGCGCGCTGGAATGATGGAGGGTGCCTTTGTCACACGAGACCCTGCCGCACGTGGAGTGCTGTGAGCATCTTGTGGCGTGCGTGCTGTCCAGTTCTGTGCCACCCGGGCCGTTCTGTGCTATGCTTAAGTCGGGCTTGTCCCCCCTACAGGGGGAATATTCAAAAATAGTCCAAAAATAGTCTGGGGACGATTTTGTTTATCATTTTTTGACTATTTGGGGGTACGTTTTGAGTATTTTTATGTTTCGCCCAAAATTTGCCTGTCGGGTGACATGCCCGACCTAACGCTGTGCGGGTCACGCTGCGAGTACCGTGGCGTGCGTGCTGGGCAGCGTGCGCCGTGCACGCGCTGCCAGGCGTACCATACCGGCTGTGCCATTATGTGGCGCGCGTGCCGTGCGTATGATTGCGTTGCACGTACCACGGCGTGCGTCGTGCAGTCAGGACACGCTTCACTATTTGGTGCCCCAGTATCACTATTCACAGGCGGCACCGCACGGCATTGCACAGCTTGGCGCGGCACGCGTGAGTATAGATGCTGCACGAGAGTGTACGATAATGTGTCACACTGCGGAGAACCCGTTCAGCTCAGCTGCTCATTGACAGGAGTGGGCGCACCATCAATAGAAAAGCGAAAGAGAATCTAGCAGGGGCAAGCGCATAGATAGAAAATGCCATGGCAAAGAAAATGCCTCACCGGCGAGTACGTGCGTTCCCCCCTCGTCCAGGTTGAGTCCTCGTTGGCCGCAGCGCAGGACGGATGGATCAGGTCGACTTCCATGCGGATGCTGAACCTTTTGGGTAAGCAGGACCGCGGGGCGGCGAAGGCGTTCATGGTCCTCAACGCGCTGTCGCTCGCGGTCGTCGTTCTCTCAAATGTGCCGTTCCTGATCCTTCAGGAGAGCATCGCCAGGCTCCTGAGCAACGATACGGAAGTTCAGCGGTGGTTGTACAAGCTCCTTTGGGTTCTCGTGCCTCATACGGTCACCCGAATATTGTCGATCAACTTTAGCGTGTTTTACATACCGTTGGGCCGAGGTTTGTTTGGATCTCTGCAGACGTTTATAAGTTTCTACGGCATTGCTGCTCCGATTGCTTGTGTCGTAGCTTTGACCAATGTCGTTACGACTGTGGAACTGCCCAAAATGGTTGCGTGCGTGGGTCTCTCAAGCATAGCTCAATTAGCATCAGCCTGCATCTCAGCCGTCTGGCTTTGGCGATTGGACTGGTTCGAAGCTGGCAGGATCATCAAAGATCGAGCCAACATGGACAGAGAGGGTGATTCCGCGCTCGAACGCTACGAGGGTGCGTAGGGCCCTCGAGGCGACAATTCGTTGCATGAGCGTCGGTCGAAGGTCGGTATGTGCTGCGTTTCCGATTTGCCTGAAGGACACCGATTTCGTCCCGTGCGAGCGAGAGATCGGAACCAAAAAAAATGGGGAAAACAAAAACGTGGCGAAGACTCCAACCCTATGCAGCGTTGCGAAGCGCAGGGCGCGGCGCTCTCCTCATACATACGTGTATATAGAGATGTACATGTGTACAGATGTACGTGTGTATATGTTGCGCGCCGTGGGAGGGATGGTGTTCGGGGCAGCGCGGATCCGAGGTTGCGAAACAGGCGCGCGGCGACGCGCAGAGCTCGCTGTGGAGGGCAGGAAGCGGGTGAGGGCTGCGCCAGGGTTGGCGGGGGCCTGCGCGGCCCACACACACACATGATGTCGTTCGTGTTCATTGATTTTTTTTTTTAAAAACAAAAAAAAAAAAAAAAAAAAAAAAAAAAAAAAAAAAAAAAAAAAAAAAAAACATGAGGTTGTGAACGGAGCTCCCACGTGGGGTACGAGATGCGTAAGGGGCATCCCGAAACGGGCGGGGGGGGCGCTGGGCGTCCGCCCCCCGGTTGGCTGCAGAGGGGGGCTCCCCGTGGGGCGCCCATCGTGCGAGGGGCGTGCCGACGTGGGCGGAGGCACGACGTGCGGCCCACGCCAGAGGGGCGCGCAACGTGCGAGGGGTACGTCCGCGCCCGCCGGGGCCGCAGGTGGAGCCGCAGGTGCAGCACCCCGTGGGGCCACGAAGCTCGTCGGGGGGGGAGGGCAGGGGGGGGGAGCGGGGGGGGGGGGGGGCGAAGTAGGCACGAGGGCGGGGTGCAGAGGCAGGGGTCGGCACGTTCTCAGTTCCATTCCTATGTTTCAACAGCCCGCGCGTCACACGTGGTAGATGTTTTGTTTGTTTTTAATTGTCTTGCGCAGAACCAGGTAAGACGCACAGCTGGCAAAAGCAAGCTTGTGGGATGTTCAGAGCAATCAAATAGCCTGGCCAATGGCCCAACCCTATGCAGCTGCGTGTGGCGCTGGGGGGGACCCTCTCCTCATCAACCGTGCGCTCATTTGGACTGGGTGGAGTACGATCCCAGTGAGGGGTGTGCCCAAATGAGCCGGCGAGGAAATGCGACCTGGCCCACTGACGCACTGACGCCGTAGGTGGGCTTTCTTATGAGGCAGGATCCGCGTGATAGATTCGCCGAAATTGGAGCCGCGCCGCCATGCGAATTGGTCCACTGAGGCCGTAGAGGGAGCTCCTTGTAGGGCACGATCCGTGTGCGGGATGCGTCGAAATGATCACGCCGCCGCCATTCGACCTGGCCCAGCGACGCTGTAGGTGGAGCTCATTGCGGAGCACGAACCGCGTGATGAGGGCGCCGAACTGGGCGCGGTGCCGCCATGCGAACTCCGCCATGCGGACTAGCCCACTGGGGCCGTAGGGGGAGCGCCCTACAAAACGTGTGAGGATGTGCCGAACTGGGCGTGGGGCGGCATGCGGCCAACCCCAGCCCGGGCCGCTGATTTCGGTCGGTTTCGGTTTCGTTGCCACCTCGGCCGGTTTACGGTTATGTTGTGGCCGTAGACGACCTGAAATTTCACGTCACAGATCTCGCCCCCCGCGGCCAGCACGCCCCCTCATCCTCTGGGCCTCCCAAGAGGGGAACAGAGCAGATGGGGCCGCAGGATCTCGCCGCATCGCCGATGCATCGCCGGTGCATCGGCGGTGCATCGGCCATGCGGCGCGCTCCTCCGACCCCATCTGGGAGGCCTTCCCCTTGGGCAAAACGCGGCGCGCCGCGGCAGCGGCCTCGCGGCTCGAAGCCTCTCGGCCAGGGGGGGGGGTCCGCCTCCACGGGCGGCGGGCGGCGGTGGAGAGTTCCTCCGAAGCGCTTAGGCGCCCCGTCCTCCTCCTCCTCCTCCTCCTCCTCCTCCTCCTCCTCCTCCTCCTCCTCCTCCTCCTCCTCCTCCTCCTCCTCCTCCTCCTCCTCCTCCTCCTCGGGTCGCCTACAGCCCCGGGGGAAGCCGTGCAGACCGGCGGTGGCCCTGGAAGGCCGCGGCGCCCAGCAGCGTGCCGCGGGCGGGCGGCCACCGCCGCTGCCCTCGCCAATGGGCGCGAGCAGCTCGCCGTGCTGCGGCGGAGCCTTTGGACTGCTCGCGGCCCGAGGCCCCCTCGATCAGGGCAGCGATTGGGGGAGGTTCAGAAGAGGAGGAGGAGGAGGAGGAGGAGGAGGAGAAGAAGGAGGAGGAGGAGGATACCGCTGCCCGCGCCTTGGTTTCGCCGTGCTGGGCCTCCTGGGAATCCACCGTCGCCACCGCCGGATGCGCCCCGAAATTCTGGTCAGGGCGCACCTTGGTGGAGAGGTCCAGGGAGCAGCGGTATCGGTGCATTCTGGTTTCCCCAGGGATAGGCATAGGGGGGTGTATCGACGTCGAATGGCGGATGCGTCGTTGATACATCGGCGATGGATCGTTGATTTCAGGGCATGTTGCCCAGCTCGTGTGTCTTCGCGCTTCGCGTGAGAGCTGCTCTCGGGCCGAGGCCCCTCGACGAGGACGGACGAGCGACGACGGACGGCGATGACGAACGATGGCGACAAACGACAACAACGAATGACGACGGATGACGACGACGACGACGACGACGACGACGACGACGACGACGACGACGACGACGACGACGACGATGACGACGTCGACGACGACGACGACGACGACGAGGGCGACGAAAACGACGACGAAAACGACGACGAAATCGACGACGACGACGACGACGACGAAATCGAAGACGAAAACGACGGACGACGACGACGACGACGACGACGACGACGACGACGACGACGACGACGACGACGACGACGATGACGCCGTCGACGACGACGGGACGGGGAGGGCGAGGGGCTCTCGGGCGAGGGGCTTTTCAAAATCCTTGAGCGATGAGGCCAGGAGCGATGAGGTGGCCGATCTGGACGGCAAACGCGGCCCAGTAGCAGTTGTCCTTGCTGCCCCCTGTGTGGTAGCGTATTCGAGCCCTGGCACGCGCAGGACCAAAAGACTGTGCAGGTGGCCGGGTGGAGTCGCGTGGGGTCCGCGCCGGACGCCTTGGCAGTGGATTGGAGGTCTGCCTGGCTGGCCGCCGGGAGGTGTGCAAGCTTGGAGTGGCCGGCCTGGCCCGCGGGCTGAGGACGCTCGGGTGCGGGGGGAGCCGTCTGGTCTCACCGCCCACCAAGCCACCTCAGCCCAACCCGAGGGTTCCAATCTGCCTTCAGTTTCCAGTGGGGGGGCGTCGGGGGAACACTGAAGAAGCACACCCGAAGCCCGTACCCCCCCCCAGCCCGACATTCGGGTCTTCGGGTTGGGTTGGGGTGCTCTGGTAGGTAGTCACGGTCGGTGTCAGAGTCATTGGCGGGGAGGTCGCCGGGCAGGGAGGTGGCGGGTCCACGGTCTGCCTTCGGCGTGCGCACGCTGCAGGTCCGCGAGCACCGAGAGGAGCTGCCCCTCGCAGCAGGCGCGGGGCAGCCAAACGGCCAGGTCGCTGGGGCTGCGCCTGTGCTCCCCTAGCAACGTGACGACGTCCTCGTGCCGTTGGAAGTAGTCCGGGAGCTTGGCCGTCACAGATGTCTTCTGGCCCCGCATGGAGGCGACCGCAGACGCCGCAGACATCCAGACGCCGACACACGAGATGAGCGGCTGGAAGAGGTTGGGACCGCGATGAGGTTGTGGCCGCCGCCCTATGCCTGGCGGCCTCTCCATTAGACTCGTTCCTTCTACAGGCTCGCCGTCGGGTGGCATCGAGTTCGGATTGGCCAGCGACTCCCCGACCTGAATATTTGCGCAAGGCACTCCAACAATAAGGTCCCTAAGCAGCTTGTCTGCACAGGGGGGGTTCTGGACTCCACACTGCTTACCTCCACGGTGCCCTGGATTCCTTAGGTTTCGATGGTTTTGCTATGGAAAGCAAGACGTGCCCACACCAAAAATCAGTGGACATCCTGGGGTGTCAGGGTTGGGTTTCTTGTGGGCGGTTTCTTGTGGTCGAGCCCCTACTGTATTGTTTCTAAGAAACGAGCAGGTCCCCCGACCAATCTGGAATCGGCCCGGCGGCGTTGGCCGCCGGTGGGCCCCGTTGGCCTTCGTTGTCCCCCGCTCGCCGCCGCTGGCTCCCTTCAGATCCGCAGTCGGTTGGGCGGCATTGTCCCCCGTTGTATCCCAGTGTATGTCATTGTCTCTGTCTGTATCATTCTGCCTCTATCCGTGTCTGTGTTGTCAGTATCCTATATCCCTATCCCGATATCTCTAGTTCTCCGTTTTTATTTATACACATATATATATACATATATATATGTATGTATTCCTACCCGATGGCCATGAGGCGTCTGGATGAATTCGCTGCGGCTGGCAGACATACAAATCAGTTACCGAGATGCTCTGCCAACCACCCTGCCGTCAGCACGCTGTGCCGCGCCAACGGCGAGGTCGTGAGAGTGGCCGTCCCGACGGGCGGAGAGGCGAGACCTGTTGTCCGCAGCGTCGAGCCGGGCCACAAGGTCATCTGGAAGCTTCAGATTCGGCTGTACACGGATAGCGTCCCAACATTTGGGGCGCCTTCGATCGCATAAGTGTCCGAGGAGGCGCAGGCGCGAGCGGAAACAAGTACCACAGCTCGGGCACACGCCAGAGGCAGGGGCAAAGTAGCGCTGCGGGGCCAAGACTTTGTGCTTGGCACGGCGATGACTCTCAAGAGCACGCGTGGTTGGGAACCTCTTGTGGCACTCCGGACAAACATGTGGTAGCGTTTGTGCGTCGTCCGCGGCATTGGCGGACGGCGCATCCGCAATAGAATCGGAAAAATGCACGCTAGCGATAGCAGACGCCCATTTCCCATATATATATATATGTATCGGTGCATCCTCATCCCCATCGAGTCCACCCATCGTTACCCCCCATCGTGGCCCCCATCCTAGTTACGTAAAGCTGCTTAGGTGTTGTCTGCCGCAAGGGTGCCATTTGTCTGAACTTGTCTCGCTCCTCTCGCCTGTTCGCGTCTCCGTGGTCCCCTCGCTTTGATTGCTGAGTGTGCTAGCGCGTTTGTGCGGGTCGCAGCCGCTGCGGCCCCAGCCCCTCCACCCACTCCTGTACAGGATGGCAGGCATGCAGGTAGGTGGAGTGCATCTCTCGGATCACCTCGAGCGTCAGCTATCGCTTGTGCGAGGCTGGATCTGCGATGGATTTGTAGCTGCCGGCCTATGCCCGCCAGCGCGTCCGTGAGACACGATTCTTATACAGGCTCGTTTTTGTCCGCGAGTCTGAGTTTCGGTCGGCCAGCAATCCCTCGATCGAGTCTGTGGAGGATGCTCCACCAATACCTTCGAGCCTCTGCAGCTGCTCTCGCCCACTTTCGAACACGTAGTCCTTCCGCAGTGCTTGCTGAGGGGGCGGTGGCGTCTGCCCCGTTCCCCGCTCCTGAGCGGGATGGCTGGCAAACAAGCAGGCGCCATGCCTCTCGCGGATTACACCATGCGTCGGTTGTCGCGAGGGCGAGGCTGGATCCACGATGGATCTGTAGCTGCCGCCCTATGCCTGCGGGCCCGTACTGTAGATACGATTGTCATACAGACCCGCCGCGTCACGAGGCTGAGTTCGGGTCGGTCAGCGACTATTCGGTTTCATTCGAGCAATGCCTGTGTCTTGACATGTGCTGGCTACCACTCCCAGCCACCCTTGCCACCGTGGTTCGCCACGGCCGCCCACCGCGCTCTGGCCTTGCGCGCCTGGCTGCTGCTGCCCGCCCGGCTGCTCATCGTCGAACTCTTCGGCGTCTGAGCGTCCTTTCTTCCTATCGGCCGCCCCCTCTTCCCTCCTTGCTCGCCGGCCAGTTCGCTGGTTGGTGCCCCTACCTGGCTTCTCGCTGGAGCGGAAGTCGCCGCCTCGCCGCTGACGAAAAAAAGGTGACACACCGTGCGGTGACCTCGAAACCCCCAAAGACCCCACCCCGCACAGTCGAAGAAGAAAGCCATCGCAAAAAAATCGCGAGAGTTCTCCCCTCCCAGGCGCGACCACAACCACAGCAGCGGCCAGGGCTGCGAACGCAGCCGCGGCCGCGGCGGGAAGAAGAGAACTACCACGGAAAAGTCGCTGTAGCTACCCCCTCCCAGCCACGTCCGCCCGCTCGGTGGCGTGTCCACAGTTCCCTCGCGGTGCTCGCTGCGGGCGCTGGCGCGCTGGCGGGAATCGTAGCGACTGCCGCCCCGCGCGGGATGGCAGGCAGGCAGGTGAGGCGGCGTGCCCCTCGCGGATCGTTCCTCCTCCTCCTCCTCCTCCTCCTCCTCCTCCTCCTCCTCCTCCTCCTCCTCCTCCTCCTCCTCCTCCTCCTCCTCCTCGTCCGCCCCATCCTCTTCCTCCTCCTCCTCGTTTGACACGCGTGTCGTACAAGTTCGCCGCGCCGCGAGGTGAAATGTAGGTCGCTCCGCGGCCCTTCGATCTAAATTCTGCGAATGTGGCATTGTCGAAATGTCTCAAATCCCATTCTCGTGTCTGTGGTCGGAAGCTCGTCATTAGTCTTGCGACAGGTATGTCAGGAGTGGGTTTGTCTGACAAGTGGGACATCGGCAGGTAACGTGGCAGACCAGTATTGTTTTCCCCCTTTCCGTTCTCCTCATCATGCTCCCCCGCTTCATGGGCTGAGGACGAGGAAGACACGGAGGAGGAGGATGGAAGGAGGAACGGGACGGGTACAGAGGAAGGAGTGGAGAATGAAGAACGAGGAGCAGGAGCGAGGAAGAGGATTGCGGAGGAGCAGGAAAAGCGGAAAGGAGAGGGATGAGAGGGAAGAATGGGGAGGGAGGGGGGGGAAAAGCGCATCTTTTTTCCTCATTATCTTCCTCCTTCTCGGCTCCTGTCCCGGCGCGCACCAGGGGGGCGCATTGTTGCCGAAACCCTGGGCGAGGGGCAGGCGTGGCGCAAACCCCATCGGGGTCACACATTCGATGGTCCCTCCTCTTGGCCCTGGCACATCCGATCGAGCGTGCCTCGCGATCGACCGCGCGGTGCTAGGAGGGATAAGAGTAGGACGACGACGACGACGACGACGACGACGACGACGACGACGACGACGACGACGACGACGACGACGACGACGGCGACGGCGACGGCGACGGCGACGGCGACGGCGACGGCGACGGCGACGACGACGACGACGAAAATCACGACGAAAACGACGACGAAATCGACGACGACGACGACGACGAAATCGAAGACGAAAACGACGACGACGAAGACGACGACGACGATGACGACGACGACGACGACGACGACGACGACGACGACGACGACGACGACGACGACGACGACCGCGGGGCGCTGGCAGGCGCCGCGCCGGCGCAGCCGCGGGCGAGCTCTGCGGCGGGCGCGTGCGGTGGGGGGGGGCGAGGGCGGCGATGGCCCAGGAGGGGCAGGCCCTCCTCCTCCTCCTCCTCCTCCTCCTCCTTCTCCTCCTCCTCCTCCTTCTCCTCCTCCTCCTCCTCCGCCTGGCCCCAGCTGGGAGGCAGAAGGAGGAGGACCAGGGAGGGATCAAGGGTCGAGGATCGAGGAAAAAAGTCGAGAGAAAGGGGATCGAGGAGGATTGGGAGGAGGGTATCCAGAAGAGAGGGGGAGAGAAGGACAGGGCGGAGGATCACGAGGAGAAGAAGGAGGGGCAGGAGGAGGGAGGAACGAGTCAGCCCCCTCCTCCTCGTTATCATCCTCTTCCTCCTCCCTCTCCTTTTTTGTTGCCTCTGCGGACCTCGCCGCGGACGAACGCCGGTCGAAGCCGAGATGCGTTCTCGCATCGAGTGATCAGGGAGGCATAAGTGAAGCAGGCGACGAGCCGCGCACCGACCCCGCAGGCCTAGCACTGAGAGGGGGGCGAACCAGGGGAGGGAGGGACGGGAGCAGAGCCAGGAGCAGGAGCAGGGAGCCGAGCGGAGCAGGAGGGGGGCCGTCAACCAAATGGCTCGGGATGAACAGCCGACCTTGAGGAAATGTTCGGGACTTCAGGGACCGCGCATGAAAATGTCAAGACGTCGCACGCTTGGGAAAAGGCACCTGTACCGCCGCTCTCCTCGGTGGCCCTCGCTGCCAGGAGCGGAGCGGAGCAGACCTAGCGCTGAGAGGGGGGACCGAGCGGAGCAGGAGCAGGGAAGAAGAGCCAGCCGGGGAGAGCAGGAGAAGGCTGGAAGGACAAGGGGGAGAAGGAGGACCGAAGAGAGGGGCAGAACACGAGCCAAGAAGCAGCAGGACCCGAACGGACGCGAACGCGACACCCGCTCAGGGGCAAGAGCGACAGCGCAAAACGACCCGACGCAACGACGACAACGGCGACGACGCAAGACGGCAGCCTTTCTCCTCCTTCTCCTCCTCCTCCTCCTCCTCCTCCTCCTCATCATCCTCCTCCTCCTCTTCCTTCTCCTCCTCCTCCTACTACTCCTCCTCCTCCTCCTCCTTCTCCTGCTCCACCGCCTCCTCCTACTACTCCTCCTCCTGCTCCTCCTCATCATCATCATCAGCAGCATCATCATCATCCTTCTCCTCCTCCTCCTCCTCCTCCTCCTCCTCCTCCTTCTCCTCCTCCTCGTCCTCCTCCTCCTCCTCCTCCTCCTCCTCCTCCTTCTCCTTCTGGAAGCCGTTCGTGCGCGTCGCAATTTTCGTGGGCTCCCTCATCATCACCAACCTCCTGGTGGCCTGCTGCTGCTGCTGCGGCTGCGCGCCCTTCAGCTTCTTCGGAGGCAAGGCCTGGGCGGGCCAGAGCCCGCCGGCGCCGCCGGCCCGAGCCGCATCCCTCACGGAGCGCGGCGACTATGTCGAGACCAGGGACTCGGCCGCGGTCGCAGAAGCCGCCAAGCAGATGGCGGTTTCAATAGCTGCTGTTTGCGGTTAGCTGGTTCACCGGCGCGTTGCCCACCACGGGCCCCGCCAGTGAGAAGGCCAGCGAGGCTGGCGCCTCCTCCCTCGGAGGCTCGGCGACTCCTCCCTCGGAGGCTGGGTACGGGACCTGTCGGAGGAGGGGGTGCACCCGCGCCCTGGCCCGCCTGACTGGGCTCGGCTCCGGGCCATCATTGGACTATGCGGGGCTCTTCTGGCTGCGACCCCGTGCTGTCTTCGCCAGAGGTGGCCCTCGCTGGAGTTGCTGACGATTGGTACATCGCTGGGAGCACGGGGCCGGTCGACGCCAAGTTCGCCGCCTTGGAGGGCCGATTGGCGCGGCGAGGGTACAGGGTGCGCGGGCAGTATTGCGCAGTCACGTCCACTACCTTGGATGCATCCAGCTGGGTGCCTTCTGCTGCGGCCTGCCTGGTCTTGGCGCGCATGCGGCGGGAAACTCGCGGCACGCTGCTGCTGGGCACGGCGCTGGGAGGTTTCGGGTCGACGGCGCTAGCCAGCGTGGCCGCCATGGAAGACCCTGCCTTGGCGCGCGCAGAGCAAGCAGAGCAGGCCTGCGAGGCTCTGTGTTGCTTGGCGCGCTCCTGGTGCCACCAGCACGCAGCGCACACGGCGTAGGCCATCCTGGTCCGTTCGCCTGCCCGTCAGCTCGATTACGGTATTCCATGATGCGCTAGTGGCGCATTTAACGTAGCAAGGACGCGGCTGCAGGCTGCAGTAGCCCAGGCGCTCGACGTGCTCAAGGGGTCCCCCTTGGACGCGACGAACGTCGATACCGGTCGGCTGCTGCCGTGCCTCGGCGGGCTTGTGGTCCGCTTTCCCGCAGAGACCGAGGCCAACGCGAGTTTCCTCGCGTGCTGGTCTGCTCACGCGCAAGACGTCGGGCACTTCGCAGCCGCTTTCGGGCGCCCGCTGCACCACAACCCCGACGCCGAGCTCGCTGGCGATGCTGCACCGCGGAGTCGCAGGCGAAGTACGCTGTCGGGCCGCTCGTCGTTGACACCCGCGAGTCAGACGTCTTCAGCTTGGTCGGCGATATCGACGATTCCTCCCCAGCCCCACGCGCGGGCGCAGGCAGCGCGGCGAGCGGTGTCCCAGCCGCCGGCAGACCAGGCGCCGCCGACACCCCAGCCGCGTGCCCCCGACCAGGCGTTTCAAGTATACGTACCGATTTCGCCCCGGAACGGTGCACTTAGGACGGGTGCTCCCAGCGCGGTCACGGCGTCCCCGGCAGCGGCGCGCGTCGTCCCCCCCCCGGCGTCGAACGGAGGTTCTTGATGCTCCAGCGCGACCAAGAGGGGGCACGCCGGCGTTTGTTGGGAAGCCCCTTCCGCGGCTTCGGCGCTTTGCGGGCCACGCGGCTTCGGTGTGGCATCGCGGACGACGAGCACCAGCGGAACTTGTTCTCGCACGCTGGCCAGGGCAATGGCATTCTTTGGTTTGCGATTCCGCACGCGCGGTGGACGCAGGCCAGCCCGTCGCTATAGCAGGCGGCCTTCTTAAGGCGCGTGGGAGCTGTTTTTGCGCCGCCTGGGGCCATCTGCAGGCTGCGGCGTGCCGCTGCCGTCGAGGACGCCAGCGATCGAAATGCAGGATTGCAGCGAGGTGATCGGCTGGCACGCCGCGCACGCCCTCGGGTGCCCCATGCAGCGCCACGCAACTGCAGGCCCACACGGGAGCCGTGCGCTGCCTTGAGGAAGAATTTCATTTCGCAGGCGTCACCGTCGACCTGAAGCGGCAGGGGCCAGAGCTCTACCGAACGCCGCTGGACGGCACGATCCAGGAGGCGGTCAAGGACCTCGTCTCTAGTGATTGGACGTCAACGTCCGGTCGCCGTTCAACGCCTCGCTGGCCAGCACGGGTCGCACCCCTAGGCCGTTGCCGCCGCTGGCGCCATGGCCAAGGCGACGCGCTACGGCGAGCAGGCACACAGCGTCGCCGTCAAGGCGGGCGGCCGCCTCAGCGCTGGTGCCGACGCGGCGCTCGCGGAGCTCGCGGCGGCCACGCAGGCGCACGGCCGCTTGCAGCGCAACGGCAGCCGCGGGACCACGGCGCGGCGTTTCGCCGAGTGTCGCTGCACTGTCGTCGTGTTGTGGGCCGTAGGCTGCTAGTTCGCCGTCGACGCGGCACGATGATTGCAGCTTGACTTTGGCCACCCGATCATCACGAACACTGTATTATTCTTACTGTGGTTGTGTTCATTATTATTCCCTACCTAGGCTCTGCCTAGAAGGGTTCTTACTCGGAGGCTTAAAGGAGCCGGGCAGTGTAACCCGCCCTGGGCGGTTCCCCCGGCATCCGCCCCGCGGTTCCCCCAGTGACGTTCCCTCAGCTTCGCGTTGCTTATCTCATCTTAGCTTAGCTTATTTCATCTTACCTTAGCTTAGCTTTATCTTACCTCAGATTTATCTTAGCTTAGCTTACCTTCATCTTCTTTCCCTACCCAAGCTCTGCCTAGAAGGGTTCTTACTCTCTTGGCTTAAAGGACCGGGCAGTGCTACCCGCCGCGGGCGGTTCCCCCGGCATCCGCCCCGCGGTTCCCCCGGCTGCGTCCCCTTAGCTTGGCGTTGCTTATCTCATCTTAGCTTAGCTTATTTCATTTTAGCTTAGCTTAGCTTCATCTTAGCCCAGGTTTATATTAGCTTAGCTTACCTTCACCGTAGTTTCGCTGAGCTTTAGCATAACAGAGCACAGCATAGCATAGCGTAGCATAGCATAGCGCAGCACAGCATATTATAGCATAGCCCAGCATATCATAGCATAGCGCAGCATAGCATAGCATAGCGCAGCACAGCACAGCATAGCACAGCGGAGCAGAGCATAGCATAGCATAGCAGAGCATAGCATAGCATAGCAGCAAAGCAAAGGCAAAGCAACAGCAGCGACAGCAAAGCAAAGCACAAGCAACGCAAAGCAAAGCAAAGCATTAGCATGGGTGTAATTCCCTACCTAGGCTGTGCCTAGAGGACTAGCTTAGCTTATGTTAGCTTAGCATAGCGCAGCGCTGCATTAGCATAGCACAGCATAGCATAACATAACCAAGCATAGCATACCACAGCATAGCATAGCGCAGCATAGCATAGCATAGCATATAATAGCATATCATATCATAGCATAGCATGGCGCAGCTTAGCGTAGCATAGTATAGCATAGCTTAGCATAGCACAGCGCAGCATGATATAGCATTGCTTAGCATAGCATAGCATAGCGCAGCATAGCATAGCATATCATAGCATAGCATAGCGCAGCACAGCATGGCATAGCATATCATAGCATAGCAAATAATGCTGCTTGCCTAGGGGCTCTAACTTCTAGGTAGGGTCGCACTGGTGTAAAGTATACCTTTATGATGATCCGTCTTATGCTTCATCATCATCATCAGCGCCATCATCAGCATAATCAGCATCATCGTCGTCATCGTCATCATCATTATCCGAATCACCATCAGTATCACCATATGCGTCACCACCATTATCCTAGTTATTAGCAATACCTTTATGTTAAAATAGATCTTCCCCTTGGCATCCCAGACGTGTCGATAGACCAGGCCGGGCGTTTTGCCCAATGTTTGCCATCGTTTTGATAGTTCTCAAGCTCCAAAGTTGTAACATACGCGGGTGGTGTGACTCGTTTGCCAAATGCGGTTCTCGCTCTAGCACCGCGCACATTCGTCTCAAAAGCTTGATAAGGGCAGGGGTCGTTTTCAAAATGGATCTTTCGCCGTAGCGCCGTGACCATTCGTTTCAATAGTTGTGCAACAGCTTCACGGATAGAACACAAGTTTATTTTCAAAATAGGGTTATCGCCATAGCACTGCGCACATTCGTCTCACGGGTTGTCCAACAACTTTACAGATGGAGCGCAGGTCGTTTTCAAAATAGGGTTCCCGCACGAGCGCCGCGCACATTCGTCATGGCATCGCTGACGCATAGTGAGTTTGCTCTGGTCGTCCTCCTCCTCTTCCTCCTCCCCTCCTCCTGCTTCTCCTCCTCCACCTCCTCCTCCTCCTCCTCCTCCTCCCCCTCCTCCTCCTCCCCCTCCTCCTCCTCCTCCATCCCAAGGATTCGTTGGCTCCTCATCCGTCTTATTCCTCCCCAGCCGCCCATTTCATCAGCCGCCCCATACATCCTCCTCTTGGAAGGAGCCGTAAGGCCGCTTCCCAGAAGTGGGCGGGGGGGGGCAGGGCGGTGCGAGCGCGCGAGGGCGTGGCGGCACGAGTGGGGGAGCATCAGGCCCCAGCGAGGACCGCGAGCGCGACGGGGGCGAGCTGGCAGAAGTCACTCCGACTGCGCCGGTTCGATTCGATTCGATTCCCCCGGCTGCCGATTCGAACCCACTCGACGCGGAGATCCCGACTCCCGATTCCATCTTCGAGTTCGCCCGATCCGACTCACGCCGACTCGATGGCCAGCCGATGCGAGTCGATTTATCGACCCGATGCTGGGGCCGCTTAGCTGGATGGATGCCGCGCGGCGGGGGTGAGGCCAGCGCGTGCGGTATCTTCCTCTCCCCCCCGGTCCCTCCTGCGCGCTCCGGTCGCGCCGGGAACGCCAGCGAGGTGGGCGTGTCGCCGCTCTGCCTCCTCTCCTGCGCCACGGACGCGCTCGCCTCACCCCCACGCGGCGGGGGCGATGGCCACTGCCGAGTGGTATCCAGAGGGAGCTGCGGAGAGCGGCGCTCGCGCCGTTCGTTTCTCCGTCGCTGTGTCTGGCACGCTCCTGCGGGAGCCCACATGTTCGTTTGAGACGGAGGCCCTCGCCATGGACGAAGGTGCCCAAGTGTCGGCGCTTCTTGTCTCACACGGCGTGCGGCCGTCAGAAATTCTATTTACGCTGAGGCTATCGAAGCGAGGGAGCTGGCTCCCCTGGATTCGGCAATGTTTTTGTTTACGTTTCCGTTTCCTGGAGGCTTCCTTGTCTCGGGATGCGTTTTGGCAGGTGCGCTTCGCCGCGAGCCTTCTGGGGGTGCCCGACTCGCCAAGAACGACTGCTGAAAATCTTAAATTTCAACCGGGAAACTGAATGGCCCTTTGCTGAAGTGCCCTGTGGTGCTCGGCTTACGGAAAGAGAGGCCAGCGCGAGAGAGGAATGACCACCGAGGCAATTGCGGTGAGTTGCGCTCGCACGATTCGCTTGTCGTCGCTGTGTCTGCCACGTCCCTGCCGAAGGCCATCTGATCTTTCGAGGTTAGGGCCCTCGCCATGGACAAAGGAGTGCAAGCGCTGACGCTTTCTGTCTGGCATGGCATACGGCCGGCAGCATCCTGACTTAGGTCGGGGCAAGCGAGACGAAACGGGGGAGCTGGCTCGCTGGAACTCGGCAAGACGTACGAGTTGCCCTTCGCCTTTGTGGTGCTCAGCTTTCGGGGCCGAGCCCAGCACGCGGGCCGCCACTGTCGCATCGCGTGCACCAGTCGCCATGTCGCACACCAAAGATCACTCCCCAACCTCGCGTCGCGGAGCAATCACGTCGGACGGTTTTTGACTATTGCGACGACCCTGAAGGCGGGACCCCGCGGGCGACCCCCCCAGGGACCCACCGGGACCCGGGGCCACCCCCCCCCACCCCCCCATTTCCCACACACACACCCTCCTTGGCAGGGAAAGGATAAAGGGAAGGTGCTTCCTTCGTACTCAGCTACGACGTCCTTTTTCATTGTCCCCCAATTTCCGTGGGAATGGCGACGACGACGACGACGACGACGACGACGCCAGCGTCTTCCACACGCCGAAGGGTCAGCGGACTTTCGGTTTATGGGGGCCCCAACCTGGCCCTGGGACCGTCAAGAAACGAACCAGGATGAAAAGCTGGCCCTGGAGTGTGTCGAAGTCTTTGGGTGTCGGCGTTGCGAGAGAGAAAAACAAAAAATGACGCAGTTTGTTCTAGGTCCCCCACGTGGGGTCCACCAGATGGGGTCGGAGGATCGCGCCGCATCGCCGATGCATCGGCGACGCAGCTCGATGCGGAACCCGATTCTCTCCACGCCGATGGCGCCGATGCATCGCCGACGTCGCTGATGTAGCAGCGATGCATGAGCGATGCTCTGGCGATGCGGCGCGATCCTCCGACCCCATCCATTCGGACCCGATTTAGCAGGCCTCCAGTTCTGGGCTCTTGCCCAGGGTCAGTGTTGCGCGCAGGAGGGGGGGCCGGGGGCGCGGGGCGGCGCGAGGCAGCCGGAAGCTCGTCATCCAGAGGTACTACATGATGTTGTCCCGCGAGGCCGTTCCCTCGCCGCCTCGTCCAATCGTGCTTTTCTGTTGTTCGAGGGGGGGCAAGAGAAGGACGACGACGAGGATCAGGGAGCACGAAGACCGAGGAAACGAAAATTGGGATGTTGGCGCGAGGATTAACGACGGGCCCCGCTTCTACGCAAAGCCGGCGCGATCCGTGACTAGATGTGACGCCAGCGACCTCATGTTTCGGAGCAGATTCTCCCCGATCCGTGGATTTGGCGCCCACTCGCCAGATCCACGCAGTACTTACACGGTCGCCTGTGGTGCCATGAGGCGTTGGGAAGACAAGCTCGCTTTGCCGACTTGCACCCGCCCTTTGCTACCCTCTCCTTGTCACCCATCCCTAGGACGGGAGCAGCCGTTCCCTGGTTCGGCGGAAGGGGGTGCTGCAATTCCAGCCAGCAGGAACGCGTTGCCGCCATGCTTGCAATAGTATGAGCTGTCCCGGGGATTCCCTCGTAAGTTGAGACACGCGTCCATCGAACAACGAATTTGCATGTTGAGAAGAAGAGTCGTGCTACTGACAGGGTTCCGCACACGAGGTTGCACACACTTTTCAGTCGGCGGCGCAGAGGAACCTCAGGCGCGGTCGGCAGATGGAGGTGCCAATCGCGAGCAAAATTAGCCGAACGCGCCATGGTAAAAGAATCCAGCCACAGCCATGCAGATTGGTGACGGTGGTGAAAAGATGAGGCGCAGCAACGCCAAAGTGCAACGGCCAAGCACCCCGCGGAGCATGGCTCGACGCCAGGAATTGATGCGCGGGCAGCAGTCGGGTGCGAATTAGCCAGTTGAAAGGAAAAACCGTAGGACTGCCAGACCAGGCAGCATTCGGCGACGCGAGACCGGCACCAGCGCGACAAGCGCCGCCACCAGGCAAGCAACAGACACGACAGAACGCCGCGCAAGTGCAAGTAGCGCGAAGAAACGCGCGCGTCCGAGGCATAAAACCAGAACAAAAAGCAAAGTTGACAGCGGGCAACCGCGACAAGAAACGCTTCGCACAGGCATATCCATGGGTGGTGGACAGGCGCGCGCGTGGCCAACGTGCAAGACGTAAAAGGCTGCGATTACGCCAGCCAGCACCAATCCAAGGCGCAAGCAGCAAAGCGGCAACGCCAACGGAAAAAAGGCGCCGACCATGAGCGGTGTCCGTGGAAAGTGCCGCGCGCACCCCTGGGAGCGCAAGATCGCAATTGCCCCCGCCACCACGGGAGGTGCAAGGCCCCGCCAGGCCGCGCCCCCGAGACACCCCGGAGAAACAACAGGCCAGGCGTCCAAAAGGCCACCGCCTAAGGCAGTATGGCAGCCATACAGATACTGACCAACAGAGGGCAGGATGGCGCAGAAGAAGGCAGCGGCAAGCAACCTCAAGTCGAGGCCTGGGGAGCGCATTCAAAAGAGAAGTGGGCCCTGGCCGAGCCGGCCCATGCCGCGTACCCGGTCAGGCCGCCGCCAGGTCCGATTGACCGACGGAAAATGACGCTAAAACACGCGCGTGGAGCGCAAGGATCCAGTAATAAGACAAAAAATGGATGGTGCAAGCAGTGCAAGACACGGCCGAGTACCAGGAAGACAGCCCCCTTGGTACGGGCTGGCCTTGCACCAAAGGCCCTTACGCTTAAGGCGACGAGAGACAAAAGCGGCAACTTCCGCCAGAAAGCCCACAGCACTTGCGGTCACCGCGCAGAGTGGGGGAAGGAAAGAGCAAAGAGCGGCGAGCGGCAACGCCGCAGCTACGCAAAAAAGGGAAGTTCCAGCGAGGACACGCAGTGGCGCGCAGAGAGAGAGGGAGAAGGGAAAACACCAGGGCGAAGCGAGGGAGCCACTCCCGCCAGCAGCACCGCACATTAGTGGCAAGGGTAACCCTCCATCATTAATGTTGCAGAGCATGGGTGGGGGCAGGCCGTAGCCTCAGTAGCTCACGCCTCAGTTTGCAGTACGCTGTCAACGTGCTGTCGACCTGGCTCCCCCTTCGATGGGCGAACATGAAGTGGGCCACGGCAGAAGTGACATTCGCCCTCCTTCGTCTTACACAGAACGCACAGTGGCGTACGCTTCCCGGGAACTCTTATTTCACTCGGCATCTTTCTGATGGTTTGGTATCCCTTTCACCCTGCTGTCGTTGCCAGGCCACAGTCCACACATGGCCTCACCAAAGTCCCCCGAGCGGCTTCTTACAGGAGCTGGTTCCATCTCATGTGCGCTACCTCCTTGGCAATGGCACTCTGCGAAACGCCACAAGGGAAATTGGCGTGAAGAGGAGGACAGGCCCAACGAAAACCCCTGGAAGCAAAGCACTTGCTTGTAATCACCTCCAAAGCAGGTCCCACAGACCGGCGTCCTCTGCCTTGGCAGCCACTGTTCGGAAGGGATGAGATCCGCCGCATAACAGATGCGTATATCCCTGGAAAGATGGGTGGCGTGACATTGGCAGACTTCTCTGGTTACTTCCGTACAGCCTGTGAAGGTCTCAAAGCCGCAGAGCACGCACGGTCGCATGAGACATCGATAGTGATCGGCTGTCTCTGAGGCTCTGAGGACAGGGAGGGCCATCGTGAAGAATGCCGCCTGCGTGCCCTGCTGCGCTTGGGCCTGCAAGGCTACCAGCGACGGTCGCGTTCAGCCTTGACCCGGCTGGTGCGAAGCGGTGCCCGATCTTCTTCGTGATCCTCCTGTCGCGCGGGGGGAACCGCCCGAACCATGGAGTTGGTATCAAACTCCCAGAATTTCGCAGGCAGCTGGCTGGCGCTGATGAGAGCCCGCCGCCGCGCAGCGTCGAGCAGCCCAGGGTCTTTCGCCGCCGACGCGAAGCTGCCCGATCGGTGGCGGATGCCTGCCCAACGGCCCCACGTAGATCTCCAATCGGCTGTACCCCGCTCCGCACTCGTATTCTTAAATCGGGCCTGTCCCTCTACAGGAGGAATATTCAAAAATAGTCAAAAAAAAATAATAGTTTGGGGACGATGTTTTTGACTATGTTCGACCATTTGGGAATGTCTTTTTACTGTTTTTCCTTATTTTTCGTTCCAAACCGGCCTGTAGGGGGACATGCCCGACCTAATCGTATTCCGCTGAAGCGACCTAACGACAGCAGCGAGTTTCGGCTGGGCGTTGTGGTCGTCCGGTGTTGGTTCCCGCGTGGGCGGTTCTGCGCGCCGGGGCCTCTGCCGTGTCTGTTCGTCTCCCTGCTCGATTGGTGGCCGAGTGCAGTCGCAGCTACGTACAGCTGTAGCGCCCGTGGAATGTTTGTATGCTCCTGGACGAATCCCTAGATGCTTGGAAGGTCCGTACCATCTGGTATCGGTGGTGTGCCGCCTTCGGTCTGTGGAGCATCGTCGCGTTCCTGCCTCAAGAACAGGAGCCATGGGAAGCGGAGGCCGTTGGTTGTGCCATCACAGTAGCGGTGTCGTTTGGCGCCACACTTCCGCCCCTGCCATTGCTCCTGACATTGAGCCTGTTCGTGGGCATCGAGACCGTGACAGACCCCGCACTCCCACGCAAGAAAAATGTCGCCCTCCTCCGTCACGTCCACGCAAGCCCACTCTTCATCATTGTTGGGGTACACCTGACGGCAATGCGGGTGACAGTGGCGGTGCGCGCTCTCATCTTGTGCGGAGACCATGATACGGCCAGGCGTAGCACCTTGTATCTCGCAAAGGCCGCATTCAAAGACACGCTGTCGTTCTAAGCGAGTGAGTTCGGTTAAGGATTGATCCTCCGACAGGGATCCGCCATCGCATCAGCTTCGCTGTGGGGGCGTTCCTCCGACAGGAGGGCAGCAGCATCAGAAAGATGTTCGGGTCCGTCGTTTCGAAAGCCATCCTCGGCCTGGGAGAGCGAGCCGTCTCGGCTTCTGTCGCCCGCACTTCCAGCGCCTTCCCCGTCGTCCTCCACGCCGCCCAAGCTGCCTGGTGGACGAAAGCTAGCTGTTGGCTTGGCAGCCACCTACGGGAACTAGCGTGTGTACGGAAGCGCTGGCCCTTGAGCCATGCCATGGCCCCAGGGGGAGGGACACCCCCAGGAGACGGCTTGAGCCAAAGGCTACGGGCACACACACACACACACACACACAGGGTCCCAGTCATTGGTACACGACTCAGTTGTTTGTGGCCCACGCGCTAGATTTTTTGTCTGAGATACCCTCTCGCCAGAAAAGTTGCCATTCCTTGCTGACGGCCCCTTTCTTGACATCCCTGACTGGGGGGGGCGCTCTGGTTCGAAGATTCCTGAAATTTCTACGGGCTGAGCCAGCCCACGGCGACTCAGGGGGGGCTCTGGACACACAGCAGCAGTGAAGTGCATATGTAAATCGTTCCAGCGGCGAGCATCACACGATGCCGGGCCCAACATCTGCCGCCGTTTGTCCCCTCCTCCCTCTCCTCCTCCTTGTCATCCTCCTTGCCCGCGTGCCTCGAACGCCTGCCAGCGCGAGGTGCCTCGCGCCCGCGAGGGGCCGAAGCATGCCGCTCAGGGAGGCCCTCAGCGGAGCCGCCTGGGAGGCGTGTCGGTGACGAAGGCAGATGGGTCGGAGCAGTTTTGCCCTCGCGCGCGCGCGATGCTGGCGACACGTCGCGGGCGAAGGAGGCACCCTCCCCCCACCCCCTCCAGGGCATCATGGGCGAGGGCACCTCGAGCATCTGCAGGCCGGCGCCGCAGTGCGTGCTCCCCGCCCTCCCCCGCGCCAGGGGGTCTGAGGGGCACGCACGACACTGCAGGATCGGTATGCGTGCTTTTGTTGCTTCCATTGCTGCGGCACTGCAGGATCCACGTCGACCCGACTCGATATCCATTCCGCCCGGCCCGATCCGATTTCGTTCGGACATTCCGACAATCCGATGCGGCCCGATGTTTGCGCGGAGTTGTGTGGCGAATCCTAGCGCATCCGAGCCGACTTGTTTTCGATTCCACATTCCGGTCTGCCCTTGTGTTCCGATTCGACGCTGATTGATTTTGCATTTCAGGTTGCCTAAAATTCGTTTTCATCGTCTCCATCGTTACATCACTATTGGTACTTAGCACCAGTCCATAAACATTGAATATTTGGCATCGTTTGGCCAGTGTGGAAAGCTGAACCGCTTTGAAGCCTCGAAATGCGCGGGCCACGTGTGCCAGCGATCACTCAACTGCCAAGCACAGGATCAGCTCCAGGGATTGCCGTTATCGCTGATAGCCATGGTAACGATAACTTGTCATCAGCGTCGATTCCAATTGGCGAGGGCGATGTGGTAGCCCGAGGCACGCTGGCTTAGCGCGAGGGCGCTCGGTTCGCCGAGCACCCAGCCACGAGCTCGCCCAGGGAGGGATGACATCGAAGAGTGTCGGATATAGGCCAGACAGGGGTAGTGTAAGACATGCAGGGGCTAGTCGTGGTGAGCGGCGGCGACCAGCGAAGGCTGCACACAGAACCAGCGGGGCGGGCAGGGGAACGCGGTTCCTGCTCAGCAGGAGGGATGGCGCGAGTGGTATGCTTGAGGGCAGAGAGGGAGGCCAGTCAACTTGGCACAGGCTGACCACACGACTCGAGGAGAGGGCCGAGGTTGAGCGACGAAACCAGGAGCATGGACTGGGAATAGTCAGAGGGATGGGACAGGGGACCCAGATACGACGGCAATAGGAGGCTCGTTGAGGCAATCGCTCAATAATTTTGGCCAGGCGTGGTTTGGAGATCAACACAGACCGGGAGGTGGCCATCAAGATCTACAAGCAGGAAAAAGGATCAGATCAGGATACCATTGTGTCATCCATGGTTTTCAAATGCCGGGGAGTATCGAACAGAGCATATGGAGGAGGAGGAGAAGGAGAGGGAGGATATGCGCAACAGCTCTGACATATGTCTGCGCTCGCGGGCGGCAGTGCGGAAACGGTTTTTGAAATCCCGGAAGGGTGGTGTGGTCCTCCTCCTCCATCGCTCTCAAGATTTCATGGTTTTCAGTGTACTTGCCGATATGCCGACCGAATGTTGTACAGTCATCCTTTTGCGTTCGACGAGCTAGGTAGTATTTGAAGCGCTTCCGTACTGTACCGTGCATCGGTTTTTGAATTCCAAAAAGGGTGGTGTGGCTCGTTCGCCCTTAAGATTTCTTGGTGCTCAGTATACTTGCCGATATGCCGACCGAATGTTGTACAGCCGTCCTTGTGCGCTCGACGAGACAGGTAGTATTTGAAGCGCTTCCGTACTGTACCGTGCATCGCAGACGTATCGAACAAACGAGGCATAAATAAGTTGTGCACATTGCGATTTCTGTCTGTCCGACAATATTTCCGGAATCATGTCACATACACGTGTTGCGTGCGCCGTGAAGATGCCATGCGTAGAGGCCCATCAGTTTTCGAGTGGTATTACTAAGGTCAAGTGTGGGTTCAGGCTCTCTATTGTTATGATACATGGTTAGTTTCCCACTGGTATACCCCATGCTCGTATGATTCCCCATGCTTCGATACGCATTGCATGTACAAGTATGTTTCCCATTGCAATGTTTACCCATCTCGCTCTCTGTATCTCTCTTTTTCTTTCTCTTTATTTATGTTTCTCTTCAGTATGTAAATTTGAAAACGCCTACGGCGAACCACTGCCGCCCCCCTGCCGTGTGGAAGCGCCTATGTGGCCGAATGTTGCGACCAGAGTTCCGCGGACTATGTGTGCCCCCAGCCGTTGTGTAAACTCTCCGGCGAACACGCGAGGGACAGAGACGAACAAGTGGAGAGGGAGGAGTATGAGGAGGAGGAGGCGGAGGAGGAGGCCTCTTGGGGGGGAGGCCATATGTGGGAGGAGGAGGAGGAGGAGGAGGCGGAGGAGGAGGAGGCGGAGGAGGAGGAGGAGGAGGCGGAGGGGGATAAGGAGGAGGAGGAGGAGGAGGAGGAGGAGGAGGCCTCTTGGGGGGGGAGGCCACATGCGGGATCCATCGCCCGCGCGCGCGCCGCGCGCCCGGCGGGCCAACCTCAGCCCACCTGTCGCGGCCGCGGTCAGGGGGCGCCGCCATGACGACTACATCATCAACCACCAGTTGATAAACTATTAGGTTACGACACGTACCCGCTTTAGTGGGGACAAATTCTCATGGCGCCAACATCGCAGAGCGGATTTTGTTCGGAAAACGATAGGGTGGGCCTGGGGTGTCCTGGAGAATTTCGTTCCAGAGTTCGAGGTGATTTTCGCGCGGGTTCTTTGTTTGGCCAGGAATGGAGACTAAGAAAAAAATCCACGTGAAATTCACTTCGTTGTTCGCTCGCCGCTTCGGGCAAAAATTCACGCTGAAATCCACGCAGAAATCCGCTGCAGCACGTCTGCAAGGCTGGCGCAATGATAGGGTTGCGACACTTACCCTCTGTAGTGGAGACAAACCGGCCAGGATGCCGAGACGATGGGCACGAACACGCAGCCCAAAATCAAATGGGGCACAGCGTCCGGCATTGGATACAACCTCGACCCGAGGACATTTCATCATTGCTGCTAGAGCCCTCTGCGAGAGCTTTCAAGCACGAGATGCGTAACAGGCAGCCCCGGTGCGAGAACGAGTTGCGCAACAGGCAGCCCAAGTACCAGAATGAATTGCGCAGCACAAAACCCAAGGACGACCACCACCATTACGACACCATGTACGCCACCAAGGCCGACACCAGGAACGACACGACCGTGCAGCCCGAAGGGGTGAGTATCGACGTCGTCGCGGAGATACCGGTGGACAACGGCCGCGCCGCTGACGACGAGTACGACTGCAGCCGCGCCGCTTACTACGAGTACGATTACGGCAGCCTCTTCAACAGCGTCCTGTACTCTCACGACCCCCAGGAGTATTCCAGCTTCGTAGAACGTGGAAGATTACGACTTGGCAGCCGACGACTCCGATTCGGACCTCGGGGACAACGAAGAGAGCGTGCCTTCTGAGCCATTACAGCCACCAGCAGAGCTACTAGGACCACCAGACGACCATCCAGGACCACAAGCTGAACAATGAGGACTACACGCACAGCTGAACCACGAGGGCCGCAACCAGAGCTACAGGACCCACTTGCCGCGCTGCGAGGGCCACCGGCCAAGCCACGAGAGCCACAAACGGAGCAACAAGGACCGCAAGTTGAGCCAAGAAAGCGACAAGCAGGACTACAAGAACTTCCAGCTGAACCACGAGGACTGCCTGCCCCACTTGAGCTACCAAAGGCACCAGCTGTGGTACGAGGACCACAGGCACAGCTAATACAGCCACCAGAAGATCTACCAGGCCCCCCAGTGGACCTCCGAGAAGCACAAGCTAAGCCACGAGGACCAGGGGCAGAGCTACGAGAGTCACCAGAAGAGCCGCGAGGACCGCGAGCAGAGCTACGAGGATGACAGGCACAGCTACAAGAGCCACCAAAAGAAAATCAGCCCCCCCCGCTGGCCACGAGGACCACTGGCAGAGTTACGAGAAACACAATCTGAGCTACGGAAGGGCACCCGAGTACGTCTCGCGGGGCTGAAGACAAGGCCGATCTTCAATGGCCAAGAGGGGTGGGCCCACTGCGCGCACAGGCTGAGCGATGGGCATACCGAAAATTTGGAGATCGATGGCAAATACGTTCAGGAAAGGCTCGGCAAGTTCTACCACGATCGGGCCCAAGCTCTCCAGCATTGCAACATGCTGCGAAACGATTACGCTTTTGAGCGGCTGTACGACGCCACTTCCGCGGAGGGCCAGCCTGGGGCTACCCAAGTCATGCCCGACGCGTTCCAGAACGAATATTTGTTCGATGCTGTCAGATGGCGTAGAGAATTACGGCGAGACCAGCCTACCTGAAGCCGCTCAGTATGGTACTCCAGCATACGTTACCGACAGCCTGGGACACGTGGCGTCTACAGCGTTAAGGACAAGGTACGCGGCGCGTGCAACATTACACGCAAGGTGCGCCGTTCTCGGTACGAGCTACGGACAACTTTTGAGCGGCCGCGCCGCCCCATTCCACCTCATCTCCTCTTCCTCGATTCCTCGATAGGCCTTAGGATGGCTTGAGCAAGAGAGTGGGTGGCCTTTCTCTTCCTCCCCCTTCCCTCTCGACACGTTTTGGGCCTGCCCTGGCCCCGGCCGCGCCCGCGCGCGTCCGGCGCGGGGCGGCGCACACAGGGAACCGCAGAGGCGGTTGCGAGAGAGACCTTTTGGGAGTGTCTTAGGATACTTTTTGGGGCTTCCTGGGAGCTTCCTAGGGGCCTTTTGGAGGCCTCTTGGAACTTTCCGTGGGCATCTTGGGTTGCTTGTGGAGGCTCTTTGGGAGGCTCTGTGGCCGTCTGGGGCGCCCCTGGCTCGTGTGACGCCGCCGGGGGCCTTCGCGGGGGCTTTTCTGGAACGACTTGGAGCCCTCTTGGAGCGCTCCAGAGCCGAATTGAAGGCCCACTTGACCGTTTTGGAGGTAGCCTGGGCCCTTTGGGGGCCCTTTCTGGGGCGGTCTTGGGGGGCTAGTGGGCCAACAGGGGGCCATCTCGAGACTCGGAAGCCTTGTCGGCGCTTTTGCGATTATCTTGGTGGCCTCTGTGGCCGTCCTGGGCCTTTGGACAACCAAACATTAGCAAATGCCAAAGTCCTTCTTCAAAAGACGCACGGAAAATCAATGATGTTGACCTCCCAGCTCGTCCTGGAGGCCCTCTCGGATGAATCTGGGGTTGTCTTGGGCGATCTTGAGGCCTTCTTCGGGGCATCTCGGCCCCCCGTCTAGGAGACATCTTGGAGCCATATTGGGCTCTCTTGGGGCCAGCATAGCCGTCTTGGAGACAATATTGGCCGTCTTAGAGGACATCTTGGTACTGCCTGGAGCAAGAAGACCGACGGCCTGGGAATGCTACGGGTCCGTATGGAGCAGAAAGCCGAACAGGCAGTCTTCTTTTCCGCAGGGCCGAATTTTCAATAAAAAGTAAATCTAAGCAACCTAAGGTGGGTTCGTGCGGCGTTGGCGCGACGTCGACGCCGGCGAAGGCGTTCAAGCTTGCATTCTGCAGCGCGGAAGCACCGAGGGACGCGGTGACGTCAGTGGACCCGACCAAATGAAATTTTGAGTGAGCGGGCCGCGCTCGATTTGAGGATGAGCGATCGACGCGGTGTCAAAAGTTTTTTGCGCCCGAGCCTACAGTGACATTCAGCACGCCTTGCACCGCTGCGGCAAGCACAGGGGGCGGCGGATCTCCAGTAGCTTTCGGTCCCTCCCGCAACTGCGCCTGGGTTGTAGGTCAGAGGCCTCTGGGATGTTTGTGGTGGTCTCTTGGGAGGCCCCACATCAGAATCTTGGGTAAGGTTTTGGGGAGTCTCTGGGCCTCTCGGGGGTCTTTTCGGGGCATCTTGAGGCCTGATTTGGGTTTCTCGGGGGCCTCCTGGTGCTTGCGGTGGGCCTCCTGGGGGCCTGCTGGCGGTCTCAGGGGCCATCTTGGGGCAGACGGCTCGAAATGTCGGTTCGTGTTCCCCGTGTTGTTCGAAATTCCAGACCTTAGAACAAGTTCCAGCTATCGGAAGTACCGGCTACAAAAAAATCAGTTACCGGTAACACCGAGTTCCGCCTTACCAGCTACTAAATATATAGATGTTCGAGATTTTCTTGTGTCTCCATGGTGTTGTTGTGCTTGATGTGTGTCGTTATTGTAGTGGCCTCCGGCCAGTGCCGCCGATCCGGGGGCGCTCCGACTGATGAGGTCTTCCTTCGCCTTTGTCCTTCCTCTCTTTTTCCCCCCCTCCCCTTCTCTCTCTCTCTCTCTCTCTCTCTCTCTCTCTCTCTCTC